AACTAAAATCTAATCAGGTCAAAATCAAAAAGCCTATTTCTGATATGCAATAAAAAATGGAGGCTCTAACTGCTAGGTTACATAAGGCAGAAGAGAGAGTCAGTGATATAGAAGACAAAATGAGGGAAAGTACGGAAGCTGAGAAAAAGAGAGATAAACTAACTACTGGATCACAAGGGGAGGATTCGACAGATCAGCGATACCATAAAGCAAAACAATACTAGAATAATTGGGGTCCTACAGGAAGAGGAAAGAGAGAGAGGGGTAGAAGGTTTATTTGAACAAATTATAGATGAGAAATTCCCTAATCTAGGAAAAGAAACAGGAATTCAAGTCCAGGAGACACAGAAAACCCCCCTCTAAATCAATAAAAATAGGTCAACACCTCGACATATAATAGTGAAGCTTGCAAATTTCAGAGATAAAGAGAAAATCCTGAAAGCAGCTCAGGACAAAAGGTCCTTAACCTACAAAGGTAGAAACATAAGGCTGGCAGCAGACATGTCCACGGAGATGTGGCAGTCCAGAAAAGACTGGCATGATACATTCAGGGTGCTAAATGAGAAAAATATGCAACCAAGAATACTTTATCCATCAAGCCTGTCATTCGGAATAGGAGAGATAAAGAGCTTCCAGGACAAACAGAAACTAAAAGAATTTATAATCACTAAATCAACCCCGCAAGAAATATTAAAGGGGATCCTTTGAGTGAAGAGAGAGCCGAAAAGTACAAAGACCAGAAAGGAACAGACACAATAAACAGAAACAGTGATTTTACAGGTAATACAATGGCACTAAATTCATATCTTTCAATAATTACTCTGAATGTAAATGGGCTAAATGCTCCAACCAGGGGTGCCTGGGTGGCTCAGTCAGTTAAGCGTCTGCCTTAAGCTCAGGTCATAATCCCAGAGTCCTAGAATCAAGGCTTGTGTCAGGCTCCCTGCTCAGTGGGGAGCCTGCTTCTCCCTCTCCCTCTGCAGCTCCCCCTGCTTGTGCTCTCTTGCTCGCTCTCTATGTCAAATAAATAAATAAAATCTTAAAAATAAAAATAAATGCTCCAGTCAAAAGACACAGGATATCAGATTGGATAAAAAAGAAAAAAAAAAAAAGACCCATCAGTATGCTGTCTAGAAGAGACTCATTTTAGACCCAAAGACACCTCCAGATTGAAAATGAGGGGGTGGAGAATGATTTATCATGCTAATGGACATCAAAAGAAAGCTGGGGTAGCAATCCCCATATCAAACAAATTAGACTTTAAACCGAAGACTGTAATAAGAGATGAAGAGGGACACTATATCATAATAAGAGGGTCTATCTAACAAGAAGATCGAACAATTATAAATATTTATGTTCCTAACTTGGGAACAGCCAACTATATAAACCAATTAATAAAAAATTAAAGAAACACATTGATCATAATACAATAATAGTGGGGGACTTTATCACCCAACTCACTGCAATGGACAGATCATCTAAGCTGAAGATCAACAAGGAAACAAGGACTTTGAATGACACACTGGACCTGATGGACTCCACAGATATATACAGAGCATTTCATCCTAAAGCAACAAATCCGCATTCTTCTCAAGTGCACATGGAACATTCTCCAGAAAAGATCACATACTGGGTCACAAATCAAGTCTCAACCAGTACCAAAAGACTGGGGTTATTCCCTGCATATTTTCAGACCACAATACTTTGAAACTTGAATTCAATCACAAGAGAAAATTTGGAAAGAACACAAATACATAATGGAGGTTAAAGAGCATTCTACTAAAGAATGAATGGGTCAACCAGGAAATTAAAGAAGAACTTTAAAAATTCATGGAAACAAATGAAAATGAAAACATAACAGTTCAGAACCTTTGGGATGCAGCAAAGGCAGTCGTAAGAGGGAAGTATATAGCACTCCAAGCCTTTCTCAAAAAACAAGAAAAGTCTCAAATACACAACCTAACCTTACAGCTAAAGGAGCTGGAAAAAGAACAGCAAATAAAGTCTAAATCCACTGGGAGAAGAGAAATAATAAAGATTAGAGCAGAAATCAATGAAATAGAAACCAAAAGAGAGTAGAAGAGATCAATGAAACTAGGAGTTGATTCTTTGAAAGAATTAATAAGATTGATAAACCCCTAGCCAGACTTACCAAAAAGAAAAGAGAAAAGACCCCAATAGATAAAATCACAAATGAAAGAGGAGAGATCACAACCAACACTGAAGAAATACAAACAATTATAAGAACATATTGGGACGCCTGGGTGGCTCAGTCAGTTAAGCGTCTGCCTTCGGCTCAGGTCATGATTCCAGGGTCCTGGGATTGAGTCCCGCATTGGGCTCTCTGCTCAGCAGCGAGTCTGCTTCTCCCTCTCCCTCTGTGATCTCTCTCACTCTCTCTCTCTCTCAAATAAATAAGTAAAATCTTTTTTAAAACAAGAACATATTATGAACAACTATATGCCAACAAATTAGGCAATCTGGAAGAAATGGATGCATTTCTAGAGACATATAAACTACCAAAACTGAAACAGGAAGAAATAGAAAACAAGAACAGACCCATAACCAGCAAAGAAATTGAAGCAGTAATCAAAAATCTCCCAACAAATAAGAGTCCAGGAGCCAATGGCTTCACAGGGGAATTATACCAAACATTTAAAGAAGAATTAATACCTATTCTTCTGAAGCTGTTTCAAAAAATAGAAAAGGAAGGAAAACTTCCACACTCATTCTATGAGGCCAGCATTACCTTGATCCCAAAACCAAAGACCCCACCAAAAAGGAGAATTACAGACCAATATCCCTGATGAACATGGATGCAAAAATTCTCACCAAGATACTAGCCAATAGGATCCAACTGTACATTAAAAGGATTATTCACCACGATCAAGTGGGATTTATTCCTGGGCTGCAGGGTTGTTCAACATCCACAAATCAATCACTATGATACACCACATTAATAAAAGAAAGGACAAGAACCATATGATCCTCTCAATGGATGTAGAAAAAGCATTTGACAAAATACAGCATCCTTTCTTGATTAAAACTCTCCAAAGTATAGGGATAGAAAGAACATACCTCAATATCATAAAAGCCATATATGAAAAGCCCACAGCAAATATCATCCTCAGTAGGGAAAAACTGAGAGCTTTTCCCATAAGGTCAGAAATATGACAGGGATGTCCACTATCACCACTGTTGTTCAACATTCAACATAGAAAGAAATAAAAAAAGAAATAAGTGACTTCCAAATCGGCAAAGAAGAAGCAAAACTCTCACTCTTCACAGATGACATGATACTTTATGTGGAAAACCCAAAAGACTCCACCCAAAAATTGCTAGAACTCACATAGAAATTCAGCAAAGTGGCAGGATATAACATCAATGCACAGAAATCAGTTACATATCTATACACTAACAGTGAGACTGAAGAAAGAGAAACCAAGGAATCGATCCCATTTACAATTGCACCAAAACCCATAAGATACCTAGGAATAAACTTAACCAAAGAGGTAAAGGATCTGTACTCTGAAAACTATAGAACACTTATAAAAGAAATTAAGGAAGACAGAAAGAAATGAAAAAACATTCCATGCTCATGGATTAGAAGAACAAAAATTGTTAAAATGTCTATGCTACCCCGAGCAATCTACACATTCAATGCAATCTCTACCAAAATACCATTGACACTTTTCACAGAGATGAAACAAATAATCCTAAAATTTGTATGGAACCAGAAAAGACTCTGAATAGTCAAAGGAATGTTGAAAAAGAAAACCAAAGCTGGTAGCATCACAATTCTGGACTTCAAGTGATATTACAAAAGATATTACAGGGCGCCTGGGTGGCTCAGTTGGTTAAGCGACTGCCTTTGGCTCAGGTCATGATCCTGGAGTCCCTGGATCAAGTCCCGCATCGGGCTCCCTGCTTGGCGGGGAGTCTGCTTCTCCCTCTGACCCTCCCCCCTCTCATGTGCTCTCTCTCATTCTCTCTCTCTCAAATAAATAAATAAAATCTTTAAAAAAAAAAAAGATATTACAAAGACTACTACAAAGTAGTCATAAGACAGTATGGTACTGGCATGAAAACAGACACATAGATCAATGGAACAGAATGGAGAGCCCAGAAATGGACCCTCAACTCTATGGTCAACTAATCTTCAACAAAGCAGGAAAGAATATCCAGTAGAAAAAAGACAGTCTCTTCAACAAATGGTGTTGGGAAAACTGGACAGCCACATGCAGAAGAATGAAACTGGACCACTTTCTTACACCATACACAAAAATAAACTCAAAATGGATGAACGACCTAAACGTGAGACAAGGAATCCATCAAAAACCTAGAGGAAGACTCAGGCAGCAACCTCTTTGACCTCAGCCCCAGCAACTTCTTACTAGACACGTCTCCAAAGACAAGAGAAACAAAGGCAAAAATGAACTATTGGTTGGGCGCCTGGGTGGCTCAGTCGGTTAAGAGTCTGCCTTCAGCTCAAGTCATGATCCCAGGGTCCTGGGATCCAGTCCCTCATCGGGCTCCATCCGTACTCAGCAGGGAGTCTGCTTCTCCCTCTCCCTCTGCCCCTCCCCCCTTCTCATGCTTGCAAGTTCTCTGTCTCAAATAAATAAATAAAATCTTTTTAAAAATGAACTATTGGGCAAAAAATGAACTATTGGGACTTCATCAAGATAAAAACTTTTGCACAGCAAAGGAAACAGTCGACAAAACCAAAAGACAACCTACAGAATGGGAGAAGGTAGTTGCAAATGTCTTATCAGATAAAGGGCTAGTATCCAAGATCTATAGAAAACTTACCAAACTCAACACCCAAAAAACAAATAATCCAGTCAAGAAATGGGTAGAAGACATGAACAGACATTTCTCCAGAGAAGACATACAAATGCCAACAGACACATGAAAAAATGCTCAACAGCAGTAGGCGTCGTGGAAATACAAATCCAAACCATAATGAGTTACCACCTCACATTTTCACACCAGTCAGAATGGCTAAAATTAACAACTCAGTAAACAACAGATGTTGGCGAAGATTCGGAGAAATCCTTGCTGCACTGTTGGTGGGAATGCAAGCTGGTACAGTCACTCTGGAAAACAGTAGGGAGATTCCTCAAGAAGTTAAAAACCAAGCTACCCTACAACCCAGCAATTGCACTACTAGGTATTTACCCAAAAGATACAAACATTGTGATCCGAACGGGAACCTGCACCCCAATGTTTATAGCAACAATGTCCACAATAGCCAAACCATGGAAAGAGCCCAGATGTCCATGGACAGATGAATGGATAAAGAAGAGGTGGTGTATATATATACAATGGAATATTACTCAGCCATAAAAAAAAAAAAGAAATCTTACCATTTGCAATGACATGGATGGAACTAGAGGGTATTACACCTGAAAATGTATACAAAATAGCGAATTGCCATGTAACTCAATAATTCCAATCTTGGGTATTTACCCAAAGAAAATGAAAACACCAATTCTTTAATTATTTTTTAATAAGATGTAGCTATTTTAAAATATGGAATTTAAAGGGTGCCTGGGAGGATCAGTCAGTTAAGCGTCTGACTCTAATTTCAGCCTGGGTCCTGATCTTAGGGTCATGAGATCGAGCCCTCTGTTCAGCTCTACACTCTCATGGAAGCTCCTTGAGAACCTCTCCCTCTTCTTCTGCCCCTCCCCCTGCTCTCTCTCTCTCTCTCTCAAATAAATAAATTAATAAAATCTTTAAAATATGGAATTTAAAAGAGAAGAAACAGCAGCCCCCAACATCAGGAGCTGGTCTGACACTGACAGCTGGGCTCAGCGTGGTCAGAAGCTGGCTAATGCCCACCACTTGGCCATATTCTTCTCCTGTGGGACATAAGCCAGTCACCTCACAGAACATCAGCATCAGACAAGGACACTCGGAAACCATGACATCACTTTGTGTCATTAGAGGCAAAACAAGGCACTGTACAACCCACAAAATACCAAATACCTCTGTCTGTTGGCTAATGTGAGCAATCGCTGCTTCTTTACCATGACTGCTTTATCCTCACTCTGATCTGGCCTGCCTAGAGAGGAGATTCATTGAGATGCTCAACCAAAGAATTGCCCACACGTCCTTACAACACACAATCAGGAGTGAGTCCCAGCTTCCACAGATCTTCTTCAAAAACACCCACCCAAAATGGAACTAGAGGGTATTATGCTAAGCGAAATAAGTCAATCAGAGAAAGACAATTATCATATGATCTCACTGATATGTGGAATTTAAGAAACAAAACAGAGGATCATAGGGGAGGGGAGGGAAAAATAAAACGATGAAATCAGAGAGGGAGACAAACCATAAGGGACTCTTAATCATAGGAAACAAACTGAGGGTTGCTGGAGGGGAGGGAGGCGGAGGGATGGGGTAACTGGGTGATAGACATTAAGGAGGGCATGTGATGTAATGACCACTGGGTATTATATAAGACTGATGAATCACTGACCTCTACCTCTGAAACCAATAATACATTATATGCTAATTAATTGAATTTAAATTTTAAAAATGGAAAAAAAGAAAAGAAACTGTCAAAAAAAAAACCCCAAATACAAAAACAAAAAACACCCATCCAAAGCCCATATCCTTATAGGTTCCAACACCTTCATATTAAGATGCCCCATGGCCCACAAAGGGGCGTGTTCTTTCTCACTGCAACAAGTAATAGATCCAACCTGAATGCCCACAGGTGCTCCTGGTGGTCTTGGGCTAAAGAACATTGAAGCATGTTACCCTTTTGTCTGCCACAATTGTTTTCATGTCTTCTAGTTTGATCATGACATGTGTTTGTATCTTTGTGAGTGTGTGGTTGACATGCCAAAATTTCATGTTTTTCTTTATGGGTTTTCATCATTGGGGCCATGCTTAGAGAATTCTTCATCCCACAATTGTAAACATTTCATGTATATTTTCCCCTCAGTAGAAATGAAGAGCAGAGGGTTTCAAAGGTGAAGGGAAACACAGAGAATTGTCTGAATTTGGGCAAAAGTATGGGGAGGTGAAAGAGGTAAAAGTTTCTAAGCGGGAGGAATCTAAGATGTCCATCTTCTGCTTTATTTTTGCAAGTATGTACAGGGCCTCCAAGGTATCTGATATACGTTGTGTTCAATAATGTTCTCACTTGGGCTCAGTGAAGACTTATGTGCCTCCTACTGAACGCAAACACCAACAACACACCCAAACTTTATAGACACATCAATTAGCTCCAGTGATGGGCATTTTTTTAAATTTTATTCTTATGTTAATCCTCATACATTACATCATTAGTTTTAGATGAAGTGTTCCATGATTCATTGTTTGTGCACAACACCCAGTGCTCCATGCAGAATGTGCCCTCCTCAATACCCACCACCAGGCTAACCCATCCTCCCACCCCCCTCCCCTCTAGAACCCTCAGTTTGTTTTTCAGAGTCTATCGTCTCTCATGGTTCGTCTACCCCTCCGATTTCCCCCGCTTCATTCTTCCCCTCCCGCTACCTTCTTTTTTTTTTTTCTTAACATATATTGCATTATTTGTTTCAGAGGTACAGATCTGAGATTCAACAGTCTTGCACAATTCACAGCACTCACCAGAGCACATACCCTCCCCAGTGTCTCTCACCCAGTCACCCCATCCCTCCCACCCCACCCCCCACTCCAACAACACTCAGTTTGTTTCCTGCGATTAAGAATTCCTCATATCAGTGAGATCATATGATACATGTCTTTCTCTGTTTGACTTATTTCACTCAACATAATACCCTCCAGTTCCATCCACGTCGTTGCAAATGGCAAGATCCCATTCCTTTTGATGGCTGCATAATATTCCATTGTGTATATATACCACATCTTCTTTATCCATTCATCTGTCGATGGACATCTTGGCTCTTTCCACAGTTTGGCTATTGTGGACATTGCTGCTATAAACGTGATGGGCATTTTTGAACACTTATGACCTTGACGTAAAACATCATGTTTTGGTTAATGCCTGTAAACTTTAGCTGTTATAATGCATATCAATTATACTTTCATGCTGTATTTTAAGCATATGTCTCAGACCCACATAGACAAATCCATGACTTCCATTTGAAGATAAATTTAATATACATATACCTATGAGTCACACAGTATCTTTTTTGAGGAGAATCCTGAAAACTAAGAGCATTCTAGATATATACTGTCTGAATGGTAGCTCTATGAGCCTCATACAGCTACTTAAATTCCTATTCATTTAAAACAATTAAAAATGCCACTGCTCAGCACACTAGCCACATTTCAAGTGCCACCTGCATCTCAGTAACCACATGTAGCTCGTGGCCACCATACTGGACAGCGCAGATACAGAAGAATTCCTTCCGCACAAAATGTTGTATTGGACTGTACCGCTCTGCATGCTTTCTGGACCTCAAGCCAGATGCATTAGACACATGTAAACTGAAAAGACCAACATGATTTATCTTACAGATGACATCAGATTCTGTCTGGGATGTGAATACATATGGGGCTGGTGTGTCACAAAATCAAAGTCGGTTATGCATGGGTCTGGTGCCTTTAGGCACAAACTGTTCCCAGTTACAAAAGGGAAATCCCTGTCCCTCCAACTCCCTTCCCAAACTGAGCACCCTCTCTGGCACCACATTTCCAGGAGGTGAGTTCTCTTCTAGATGCACTCAGGGGCTAAAGTCAGGGCTGAGTTTTCAAAGACAGGAAGTGCAGCTCAGGGAAAGGGATTCTACTGAGTGAAGAGGAAGCTTGCTCGGTCAGAAGAGCATGCGACTGTTGATCCCAGGGCCATGAGTTCAAACCCCACATTGGGTGTAGAGATCACTAAAAATAAATAAACATTTAAAAAAAAAAAGAAAGAGGGCGCCTGGGTAGCTCAGTTGGTTAAGCGACTGCCTTCAGCTCAGGTCATGATCCTGGAGTCCCGGGATCGAGTCCCGCATCGGGCTCCCTGCTCAGCGGGGAGTCTGCTTCTCCCTCTGACCCTCCCCCCTCTCATGCTATCTCTATGTCATTCTCTCTCTCAAATAAATAAATAAAATATTTAAAAAAATAATAAAAATTAAAAAATAAAATAAATTTTAAAAAAAGAAAGAAAAAAGGAAAATGGCAAAAGAATCCGCTCCCATCCTGCCAGTTTGGTGTCATTGTCCTGACAACCTCAGCTGGCATCGTGGAGCATGAAGAAGCAAGTTGAAAACACACAGGAGGGAAAATCTTGGGATTCTTTTTCTAGGGATGTAATACACACGTGCAAATAAAATGCCTCAATGGAAAAAAAACAAACAAAAAAACTAGTATCACTTGAAAACATCCTGGTTGAAGCATTAAAAATTATCTTACTAAATTATTCTCAAATCCACATTTTAAACATGTCTTATATGATGGTGTGGGATGTACAGCATATCCCTAAGCCCCCAGGAAAATAATTTGCATGAACTTAACTGGACTGGGGTTGTTTTTGTTGTTGTTGTTGTTGTTACAAAATGCCATTTTTACTTGAAGGAATGAATGACACAGAAACTTGGATTATTTAGGATATTTGGCCGACAGTTTCTTGAAAATGAACATGACCCTACCCCTTCATTAAAATCAACTCACACATGACAGCTGACAGTACTTGTTGCCCTGATTAAATGTAAACTCTCAAGAGAAAACCAGAATTTTGGAAAACTTGTGATCCACCAATAAGCTTGACAGCTTCTCCCTACTGACAAACTTTCCTGTCAGGATCTGTGATAATAGTAAAACAAATGGGATGTTTTGATAACTTGATTCCAGTCTAATAAACATGGGAACAACACATTGCTTTAAGACAAATCAAGTTTTAGGGATGCCTGGGTGGCTCAGATGGTTAAGCATCTGCCTTCGGCTCAGGTCATGATCCCAAGGTCCTGGGATCGAGCCCCACATCGGGCTCCCTGCTCAGCGGGAAGCCTGCTTCTCCCTCTCCCTCTGCCTGCCTGTCTGCCTACTTGTGATCTCTCTCTCTCTGTGTCAAATAAATAAATAAATAAAAATCTTAAAAAAAAAAAGACAAATCAAGCTTTAGTACGAGATCCATTCAGTATGCAAGCTGGGCCCATGGATTTTAATGTAACAAAGAAGGACATACTCAATGATACTGTTTCAGGTGCCACTTTGCAAATAACCTTACAGAAAGTATAACTTGTGTAGGTGTAATATAGTATCAAACATGACTATCCATAATTATCTGAAAAGGTTAGGAAACATGCTATTCTCCCATATTTGTGCAAGGCTGTTAATATTTTCATATACTTCAACCAAAACAACACTAGAAATGCATAAGCAAATCTGAACATCCAGGGGTCTTCGAAGGAGACAGACAAGAACAAGAAAGAGACTTGCAAACTGGAAAATGTAACAAAAATCCACTTTTCTCACTGCCCTGTTTATTGGGGGAAATGGTTATTTTTCATAAAAGCAATATTTCTGTTATGTCAAGGGTTATTAATGTGATTCTAAATGAATTAATACATGTTTAACCCTGTTTTATTCCTACTATGGTAAACACTGATATAACCCACAGATGCAAAATTATCCTTGGGATCCTCCGTAATTTGTAAGACCACAGAGATATCCTGTGATCCTAATTTTTGAGAATCACTGATTCACACAAACCTGGGCCACGACTCAGGGAGACAAGGTGACGAAGAGCGCACTGTGCAGTAAGCGAGGGATCGGGGCAAAGTCGCATTTCCCCGGGAAGGCCTGCCTGTCAACAGCGGTGTCTGGGGCTGCAGAGTCCCCCCTCTCCCTGGGTTTCACGTCTCACTCCCACAACGCGTCAGGTCCTCCCGCCGGGATACTAGTGACGCGACCGCAGTTCGCAATCCCATTGGGCGTCGGGTTTCTGGAGCACCCAATCAGCGGCACCGAGATTCCGGGTTCGAAAGTCCTGACCACACCCACAGGGACGCATCTACGCCTCAGACCCTGAAGGTCTGGGCCACGGGGCCCCGAACCCTCGTCCTGCTGCTGTCGGGGGCCCTGGCCGAGACCGAGACCTGGGCGGGTGAGTGCGTGGGGCGGGAGGAAAGGGCCTCTGCGGGGCCGGAGCGAGGGGAGCTTCGGGCGGCGACGCGGGATCCCCGGGAAGGCGCCTCTCCGCCCCCCCCGCCCCGCCCCGGCCTGTGCTCCCCCGCCCCTCCCCGCCTCCGCCCGGCCCTCCCGGCCGCCCGCACCTGCGCCCCGGGCCCCGCGCCCCTCCGCGCCCGCAGGCTCCCACTCCCTGAAGTGTTTCCACACCGCCGTGTCCCGGCCCGGCCGCTTCGTGGGCGTCGGCTACGTGGACGGCACGCCGTTCGTGCGGTTCGACGGCGACGCGGCGAGTCGGGGGGCGGAGCCGCGGGCGCCGCGGGTGGGGCGGAGGGGCGCAGTATTGGGAGCGCGAGACGCGAACGGCCGAGGGCCACGCCCAGCTGTCGCGACGGAGCCCGAGGGTCGCTGCCGGCCACTACAGGCGAGCGAGGCGGGTGAGCGGCGCGGGGTCGGGTCCACGGCACGGCCCCATCCCCGCCGACGGGCCTCGGTCGCCCCGAGGCTGCGGAGCCCACCGCGCCCCGCCCTTGGGAGAGCCCGCCGGGACTTTTAAGCGGTTTTACTTTGTGTGGACTTCGTCGTTTGTCCACCACCAGGGGTGGTGACAGTCTGAGAGCTGACCGCGCGGGCGGTCTCACACCCTGCGGGGGATGTTTGGCTGCGACTTGGGGCCGGCCGCGGTGGCCGGGCATGGCGGCAACTACGCTCAGAGCGAGTGCGCGAAGTCGCTCCGCAGGCACCTGGAGAAGGGGAACCAGACGCTGCCGCGCGCGGGTACCGGGGCCGCGGGGCCTCCCGGATCGCCCCTCCGCTGGGGCTGGCTTCCCACCAGGAGGGGAGAGTGGACTCAGTGTCAGAATGCCACCTCCCCCATGGGTGGGGAGGAGGAGTCAGCCTCCGTGTTCATGTTCCTACTATTGAGTGACTCACCCAGAGGGCCGCTTTCTCTATAGGACAATTGAGGAATCCAGTCTCTCCCGGGAGGCAGGTGGAGACCGTCAGCGGTTCCTTTTGACACTAACAGCCACCTTGTGAACCATGACTTAACCTCCATCTGAGAATATCTCTGTTCTGCGTCTGAGAACATCTTTGGACATCTGACTCCAGGTTTTCTGACTCAATCACCTGCCACCATTGTCAGGACCAACCGTGTGCTCTCCCCCTTAGACCTGCAGCGTCCTACCCTGGGCCATCTCCCTGATTCTAGAATTTTCCAAGGATTAGGAGATCCCAAAGGCTAGGCTGGTGTCTGGGTTTTGTGCTTTTTCCATCTGAACCAATTGCCCTGTCCACCTCAAGATGGCCAGATGAATGCTGTTTCAGTGGTCCATAAAGGTACACCCAAGTGTGGATTTCTGATTCTTCTTCCTCAGAACCGCCCAAAACACATGTGAGCCATCACCCCATCTCTGACCATGATGTCACCCTGAAGTGCTGGGCCCTGGGCTTCTACCCTGCAGAGATCACCCTGACCTGGCAGCAGGACAGGGAGGACCTGACCCAGGACACAGAGCTTGTGGAGACCAGGCCTGCAGGGGATGGGACCTTCCAGAAGTGGACGGCTGTGGTGGTGCCTTCTGGACAGGAGCAGAGATACACGTGCCATGTGCAGCGTGAGGGGCTGCCCGAGCCCATCACGTTTACATGGGGTAAGGAGGGGTTTAGGGTAGAGCCTCTTCTCAGGAAACCTTCTGGAGAATTTTGGCAAAGTGTGGACTCAGGCTACACGTCTGGGCCCCTCACCTTCCCTTCCCTTTCCAGAGCCACCTACTCAGCCCATCATGGGCATCATTGCTGGTCTGGTTCTTTTTGTGATCACTGTGGTCATTGTAGCTGTGATCTGGAGAAAGAAGTGCTCAGGTAGGAAACTGAGTTTTCTTGTCCCCTTGGGGGGTTTCCTAGGTATGAGATGGCCCTGCCTTGTTACTGGGAAGTACCATCCACACACATGGACTTGCCCACTCTGGAGCTGATTACTAACATTCACTCTGTAGCAAACACTTATGAAAAGGAAGGGCAAATTTTTATCTTGGTAATTCTGGTGATGGGGACCTGATTCCCAGCAGTCAAAGGACAGAGAGGAAGGTCCCTGCTGAGGACAGACCTCCAGCGAGTCAGGTGGTTCAGTGACCACACACCTCGGTTCTTCATGTTTCCTGATGCTGTTCTGGGTTTTCAGTCACAATTCCACAAACTTCATTTTGGACCAGGGCTAGGAGCTTCCTCTAGGATCGCATGGTCCAGCCTTGTCCAGGCCTCTGACATGTTTTCTTCCCAAGGTCAAATAACAAGAAACTACTCCCACTCTGCACATAAGGATGGAGGGGGTGATCCCTGAGACCCTTGGTTAGTGTAGACAGGACCCCATGGGGAGCTCACCCACCCCATAGCTCCTGTTCTTTCCCCCAGTAGGCAATGACATTGCCCAGGGCTGTGATGTGCGTCTCACAGCAATTATAGTGAGACCTCTGAGGGCCTGATGTGGGGAGGGCTTGGGGCACTAGGGACACTTTGAGCATGCAGGGGGCTGTTGAGAATGTCCGCACTTATGTGATTGACCTAAATCTGTACATGATTGTTTTTCACAGCGTGAGACCAGCTGCCTTGTGGGGCCTGAGGGATGCAAGATTTGTTCACACTCCCACTTGGTAACACCAACAACCCCTGACTTCTCTTTGTGCAAAAAGTGTCAGAAAGTGTCTGTGTTCCTATGAGCATAATGTGAGGAGGTGGGGAGAGTGGCCCACCCTGCCCACCACGCCCCCTTCCCATACTGACCTGCCTTCTCATTTCTGATGTACTCTCCTGTTCCAGCAGAGGCAGGGCTGGACCGTCACCATCCCTGTCTTTATTTCATGCTGGACTGAGTACGAATGACTTACTTCCCTATTGAAAATGAGAATCCAGATATGAGTTTGTGTTTTTTAACACTTGGCATGTGGGGTTGATGAGGTAATAAAAGGAGATTTGTAAAATTGAGACAGCAAATAAGCGGAAGCACTGAGAACCTTCCAGAACTTTTGTTTGCTGTGTTGAGTCTATTGCAGGTGGGAATAGGAGAAGGCTCCGAGGAGCCAAGCGGGGATGGGGCCTGTGCCCAGTCAGTGCTCAGTGCATCATGGGTATGACATGCTCACCCCTCAGCTGGGTCATCTCTCTGCTCTGTGTCCTGCCCCTTCTGTGGAAGCTTGTCTCACCAGGACCTGTGATCACAGAGACCTGTCACCAGGACCTTGTGCAGCAAGAGCTTCCTGTGACTGACAGCTTAGGCTCAGGCCCAGGTCATGACATAGCCCCCATTTTGGGTGGTTTTTTTCATTGTTTCTGTAGAGCATCAGGCCTGTTCTTGCTCTTGTGTACTTGTCCCGTTCTCCCCTGGGCGACCCCGTCAGTTACAGCAGCGGGTGTCCTTTGGGCTGTGGTTCCCACAGGCCTAGTTCAGGCCCTGCACACAGGAATCTCTGTGGTATGGAGGGATGAACTTCCAGATTCATCCATGTCTTCCCCTCCCTCTAGAGCTATTGTCTGGATTATTCTTTAGATTCCGGAGATAGAGAGAGGAGGAATCTGAAAGGTTCTCATCCTTATTAAACTTCAGTTAGTTTCTACCTTCTCTGCTGCTCTGTTCTCTCTCCCTGCCCTTAGTTCAGTGATCTTAGTGCTGGCTCCGATCCAAGTGCATGGATTTATAAAGCAGAGTCTAACATGGATTTCTAGGTGGTTGGAGAAAAGGACCCGTAAAGCCTAAGTACAGTGTTTCTGAAGAGAGAACTCTGTGTGCTGTGTGTGCCCGAGACATGGGGGGGGGGGGGGGGCTGAGCAGAGCAAGGGAGGGGAGGGCAGCCCGGACGGCAAGGTGGGCGCACGGGGGGCGGAAGCTGCCACAGAACATCTGTGCCTTAGGCGCATCTGGAAGAGGGGGTCCTCTACCTGCTCATTCATTCAACTGATAATTGTCATGTGGCACATACGGGCCACACTATGTTTCATCTAGGACACCTCAGTGAGACTAAGGAGAGGGAAAACTTGCTGGTCTTGTAGAGACTATGTTCTAGTGGTAAGGGGCAGACTGCGCTTGTCTCTCAATGTGGGGATTGGGGCAGTGGCCCGCTTGGGCAGTCAGTAATCCAGGTGTAATTTTGACTCCTCAAAAACTTAAGTACTAAGCCTACTGTTGACTGGACGCCTTCGTGATAAAATATACAGTTGTTTAACATATATTTTATATGCTACATATATTATATACTGTATTCTAATAATTAAGCTAGAGAAAATAGTAAGAAATCCCAAGGAAGAAAAATGCATGGATGGTATTTACTGTATAAAAGTCCACAGGTAAGGGGTAGTGCACAGTCCAAACCAGGGTCATTCAGAGGTGACCTGTGTATTGTGTAAGCTCAGTACATAAGGGAAGGGTTTAAGTAGGAAGTTGGTAGGTGCTGTGAGGAAGGTGACCCAGAGAGCACCGTGCTGGGACAGGTATGATGGCTACTCTACTCCAGGGATCAGAGGAGCCTCACTGAGAAGGTGACCTCTGAGAGGTTTGAAGGACATGAAGGAGTTGTGTAAGAGGAGGTCTGGGGGGGAGCTCTTTCCAGCCAGGGAACCCCCAGCGCACACGCACTAGGGCAGGGGCGCGTCCTGTGTTCACGGAAAGGTGAGGAAGCTGGGTGGCTGGAGCAGAGAGCAGACGAAATGAGGTCAGATGTCAGCCATGTCACGGAGGTCTGAGGATATTAGAAGGCTTTTGAGTTTTCTCTGAATGAGGTGTGTAATTACAAGAATGAACGAACAGATCAATGGGATTGACTTTCTAGCAGCACCTTGCAGAATGGAGAGGTGCAGGGCAAGCGACCAGTAGGGAAAGTGTAGGAAACCAGCGAAGTGTCCCAGGTGGGGGACGTGGGCTGTACGGCTGGGGCATAAGGAGGGAAAATAGTAAGAAGGGATGGGGTGCTGGAAATATTTACAGATGGACTTTGCAGCATTTCCTAATGGATTCATTCTGGGTGGTGAGAAGGAGGAATCAAGGAGGGCATCCAGTATTTCAGACTGCAAGTAGAAATGTGGGTGCCTTCATGGAAATGGAGAAGACTCTAGAAGTAGCATATCTGGGGAAGCAGCATCACAGGCATCCACTTCAGGAATATGGAATCTGAGATGTCTATTAGAAATGAAGGCAGGGTTGGCAGTTGGATACAGAGTGCAGGGTAGGAGAAATATCTGGGTGGGAGAAATAGATTTGGGAAGTGATGTCATATAAATGATGTTTAAAGCCTTCAGCAGAGATGAGGTCACCAAGGGGGCGATGGCCTTAGAAGAGAAAGGAACAGGACCAAACCCTGGACTCCTCAGGGCTCAGCAAGCTGATCAGAGCGCACACCCAGAGCGTACTGCACAGTCGGGTTCTGCATCTAGAAGACACATAGATCAGGGAGGCCCAACCTTCAACGGGCACAGGAATTGCCTGGACTATGAAGATCTAGCCAGTCTGGAGTAGAGCGTGAGATTCTGGGTTGATAACGGGTCGGTGCTGCCACTGCGGCTGATCTTCGGATCCCACACTGAGTAGCAAGCACATAGAGCAGGATCCCCACATGGCTGTGCACCAACCTCTCCCGTAGGCCTTATTAACTGATTCCTAGGCCCTCGCCCAGCATTCTAAGACGGGGGGTCTTGGGAGAGGCCTGGGTATTTTGTAACAAAGCCAAAAGCAACTCTTGGGGCTCCACCAGATAGGGAAACAATGAAGTCATTGATGAGAGCACTCATTGTGGGAAGAGGTCTTACATACACATTTAATTGGTTTTTGGGGGATGCCTGGGTGACTCGGTTGGGTGTCCAACTCTTGGTTTTGGCTCAAGTCGTGATCTGAGGGTCATGAGATTGAGCCCCAAGTCAGGCTTCCCACTCAGCGTGGAGTCTGCTTGAAATTCTCTCCCTCTCTCTCTGCCCCTCCCCCCCACACACGCAGGTGCGCACATTCTGTCTCTCTCTCTTTCAAATAAACAAAATCTTTAAATGGTTTTTTTGTAGGAAGAAAAATGCAAGACATGCTGGGAGAAACATATTTTCTCTCCCAGGGGGCACAGACAGGTGGCAGATGAGGAAGTGCTTATCAGCTCAACATAAAATCTTGGAGTTACTAAGAGTGTAGGTCTTAATGTTTGCATCTCACAAGGAAATGGTAACTATGTGACATGCGGGTATTAGCTAACGCTGTGATTTTAGTGGTTATTATCATTTTGCAGGAAAGAAATATATCAATCAACAGGTTGTACCCTTAAGCTTGCTTACACAATGGTGTATATCAATCATATCTCTGTAAAGCTGGAAAAAAATGTCTGAAATCTTGCTCTTGGAAACTCTTCCCTACATGGGTTTCTGACTCCTTGTGATACACATGTACAGTTACAGAGAGATTTAGGGAAGAGAGAGGGCATATGGCGTTTGTTTTGTTTCAAGGAAAGCCACTGAGCAGGCTTGAGGCTACACAGCCGGGAGCAGAATCCACACTGGACCCTCGATGGAGGCCCACATACAGCCAGCACCCTGCTACTGGGTATCGATGCCCCTGTCCACACCACTGACTCCCCTGAGGGAGGACACTGGGCCCTGAGGCTGGGACTGCTATCGCAGCTGCCCCTGACCGCTGCATGACCCCGCTGTGACACTGCTCGGACCCCCTGTGCCCAATGCATGGACGCTGTCCCAGTGTGTCTGTCACGTGTCCTGAGTCAGAGTCTGGCAGGTGGTCACGTGAGTGTTGACACTTCATGTCATGTCCAACTGCAAGACTGTTTGACGAAGTGGGTTCTCCTCTCTATGGATGGAGGTGGTCTCTGCCTCCATCAAGATTGTTTACGTGTGGAAAGCCTCCTTTACTTGGGAAGAGACGTACAAGTTCTGGGAATGGACATTGGGGGTCAGGAATGGAAATGAATGATGGGTTTCCACATGTGGAGCAGTGATCTGAGACTAGAACTTGATTGGGTACATTGTAGGCATGCAAGTCTGCTTGGATGAAGGAGTGACTCATAAATGGCATCTTTCAACTTATTCCCTTGATGCTTGTTATGGGTCCAGCTTATGTCTACTCCAGTTCCTACTCACAAATAAGTGGAGTAGCATTGTTGCATGATGAAGTGATTATTCAACATGCCTTCTCCCAGCCTTTGTCTCTTCCCGGGGTTAAAAACCCAGATCTGTATCACTTCAGATGATCCACATATATACACTGACATTTTACATTTCTTTATACATGCACATATTTCTTTTTTTTTAATTCTTATGTTAATCCCCATACATTACATCATTAGTTTTAGATGAAGTGTTCCATGATTCATTGTTTGTGCATAACACCCAGTGCTCCATGCAGAATGTGCCCTCCTCAATACCCACCACCAGGCTAACCCATCCTCCCACCCCCCTCCCCTCTAGAACCCTCAGTTTGTTTTTCAGAGTCCCATCGTCTCTCATGGTTCGTCTACCCCTCCGATTTCCCCCGCTTCATTCTTCCCCTTACATGCACATATTTCTGAGGAGAGTGTCCATATTAGGTTTTAGTGGCCTCCACAAAAGTCTAAAAAACCACTCCATTTTATTTTATTTTTTAAAAGATTTTATTTATTTGACAGAGAAAGACACAGCGAGAGAGGGAACACAAGCAGGGGGAGTGGAAGAGGGAGAAGCAGGCTCCCCACCGAGCAAGGAGCCCAATGCGGGACTTGATCCCAGGACCCCGGGACCATGACCCGAGCCGAAGGTGGACACCTAACGACTGAGCCACCCAGGCACCCCTGTCCATGTTTTAATTGCATTACTTGGTTTTTGGTGTTAAGTTGTATCAGTTTTTTTAATATATTTTGGATACTAACCTTTTATTGGACGTGTCATTTGCAAATATCTTCTCCCATTCAGTATGTTGTCTTTTAGTTTTGTTGACTGTTTCCTTCGCTGTGCAGAAGCTTTTTATTTTGATGTGGTTCCAATAGTTTATTTTTGCTTTTGTTTCCCTTGCCTCGGGAGACAGATCTAAAAAAATGTTGTCATGGCCAATGTCAGAGAAACTACTGCTTGTGCTCTTTTCTAGGATTTTTATGGTTTCAGGTCTCACATTTAATCCATTTTGAGTTCATTAATCCTTAATCCATTTTGAGTTTATTTGGGGTATGGTGTAAGAAAGTGGTCCGGTTTCATTTAGTTCTTGTCTTACTTGACCAAACAGCAAACTTCAGCTCTGTTAACCACTCCCTAATTCCTGAAATTTTGCCTTGCTGTACTAGTCAATGTTCTCCAGAGTAACAGAACCAATATGATACAGGTAGGTAGGTAGGTAGGTAGGGAGGTAGGTAGGTGATAGATTTAGTATAAGGAAACAGCTCACGTGACTCTGGAGGCTGACAAATTCCAGGATCTGCCGTTGGCAAGCCAGAGACTCAAGAGAGCTGATGGTATAATTCCAGTCTGAAGGCCTACAGGCTAGAGACCCAGGAAGTGCGGATGTTTCAGTCTGAGCCCAAAGGCAGGAAAAAAAAACGCAAACATGTCCAGCTCAAGGAAGTCCAGCAGGAGGAACCTTCCACTCACTTACCAGAGGGTCAGCCTTTTATTCTATTCAGGCCTCTAACCGACTTGATGGGGACTCCCACGTTGGGGAGGGCAATCTGCTTTACTCAGTCCACTGATTCAAATGTCAGCTTCATCCAGAAACACCCTCACAGAACCCAGAATAGTGTCTGACCGAATGTCTGGCACCTGGTGACCCAGTCACGTTGACACATAAAATTAGCCATCACATTTGCCCTCTGAGATATACTAC